CTGCTACAGGGTGGCACGGATGAGGAAATGACATATATATATACATGATTTAGCATTACCTGGTAGGGGGAGCACGCCCTACCCACACCACCATTCACGGCCTTGGCTGCCAATCACTGGGTCCCACCCAGTGATTATTCCCCGGCACCCCGTGATTGCCGAGCATCTTTGACAGGGAGGAGAATTGTTTGTAAACAAAACAGTTCTCTCTGTCAGCTAGTGCACACTACTTTGGATGGCTGTGCACAGTGAAGTACACAGTTAACCCTTTGATCGCCCCTCATGTTAACAACTTCCCGCCCAGTGCCATTAGTACAGTGTCAGTGCTATTTTTTAGCACTGATCACTGTATTGGTGTCACTGGGGATGTCAGTGACACCAAGTCAGTTTCCCCCAGTGTCAGAATGCCCGCAGTCCCTGATTGACACCATTACTAGTAAAAATACAACATAATAAATAAATAAATCCCAGTATATATATATATATATATATATATATATATATATATATATATGCTATAACTTTCACGTAAACCAATTCATTTACACGTATTGGGATTTTTTTTTAGCAAAGACATGTAGCAGAATACATTTTGGCCTAAATTTATGACAAAATTTGATTTTTTAAATTTTTTTACTGGACATGTTTAATAGCAAAAAGTCAAAAATATTGTTTTATTTTATCCAAATTGTCAGTCTATTTCTATTTTTATAGCGCAAAAATACAAAATGCACAGGCAATCATATACCACTGAAAGAAAGCTCCATTTGTGGGAAAAAAGGGCGTACATTTCATTTGGGTGCGGAGTGGCATGACCGCGCAATTGTCAGTTAAAATAACACAGTGCCGTAATGCAAAAAATGGGCTGGTCAGGAAGAGGTGTAAATCCTCTGGAGATCAAGTGGCTAGTCAACTTTGTACCTGGTTTTCAGTCAAACTCAGAGGTACCTTCATCATGAATATTACTGTTAATATCAAACCCATCTTTTTCATTTCTGAAAACTGGTGTTTTAATACATCTGCCCTTATCCTGTCATCTGTGACCAGCCTCTTCTGGGGGTAAGTTGTTATTTCATAACCTTTTTTATTAATGATATATTTGAAAAAATGAGCATCTGTTTTATTTTCTGAAGCAATGTGTTTTTCATATTCTGTTATAGCGCCCCTATTTCTCTCATGCATTTCTTGTTGCATTCCTTTTAAATCTGTAACAATTGAGTACTGACGTGATACTTTTTTTATTTGCACTAACATATAATTTTGAGGACAAGCTTTCGGGGTATGTCCCCTTCTTCAAGGTCCAGGCAGTACTACTACACAACGTTTTAGCAGAATATTAGAAGAGATGTTGAAAGGGGAGGTAAAAAAAAAAAAAAAAAACAGAAAGAAACACAAACAAATGTACACAACAATGGTTATAAGACTAGGATTAGACTAGAGATAAGACACAGCAAAAGCAAAGACTGGGGGGGGGGGGACAACACTCACAGAGGGGGTCGTAAAACTGTTGGATAATGAGTGAGGAATCCCATGTCCAAATTAAGGCCGTTATCTCTTGTGTCAAATAGAATTATCATTCTTAGTTCAAAAGTTTTCCTTTCCTGAATAGTTTTGAAATTTCCTTTAAGAACTAAGATTTTGAGGTCTTCCATAGTGTGGTCTGGTTGTGCGAAAATGGTGTCCCACAGGTGTGCAGAAGTCAACTTCTTTATGTTCCTTGATGATATGTCTGTGCAAATTCATCCTTGTTTGCAACTTCTGTCCTGTTTCGCCAACATAAGATCCTTTGCTGCATTTTCTGCACTGGATAAGGTACACAACATTACTGGAGGTGCAGCTCTATGATCCGGAGATATTGAAGATCCCTTTTGAGTGTCTGATGCTTGTTGATGGATTGATTTGGTTGTACAGTTTGCAGCGTTTTTTATTGCAGGGTTTGCTTCCATTATTTGTGACATTATAATCAGAAAGAAGTTTCCTACTTGTTAGTTTATTTCTGAGGTTAGGGGGTTGTCTGAAAGCTAGTATTGGCGGTTGCTGGAATATTTCTTTCAGAGTTCCATCCTCTGTTATGATGGGTTGTAAATCTTTGATTATTTTTCTTATATCTTCTAGTGCCGGGTTGTATGTGGTTACTAGAGGTACACGGTTGTTTTTTTCTCTTTGTACTGAAGTAGATTTTCTCTTCGGGTTCTCAAGGCTGTGTTTATGCTGGTGTTGATAGTTTTGGTTTTGTCCTTGTAACCTTTCTTATGGAAGGAGTCTGCTAGTGTCCCAAGATGTTTATCTCTGTCTCTTGGGTCAGAACATATTCGGTGGTATCTAATGGCCTGACTGTATGATGGCACGTTTCATGTGTTGGGGGTGGAAGCTAGAACTGTGGAGGTAGTTGCATCTGTCAGTAGGTTTCCTGTATATTGAGGTGTGAAGCGTATCATCCCTGATGTATACTGTGGTATCTAGGAAGTTGACTTGTGTGTTTGTGTATTCCATTTTTAGTTTGATTGATGGATAAAAAGTGTTCGTCAATGAGTAAAATTGTTTTAGGTTCTCTTCACCTTCTGTCCATATGATGAAAATACCATCAATACATCAATAGCATCTGTATGGTTTTTGTTCCATGCTGTTCAGGAATTTTTCCTCCAGGTCAGCCATAAATAAATTGGCATATTGGGGTGCCATTTTACTTCCCCTCGCAGTATACATACATTGAAGATAGATGTCTTTATTGAAAGCAAAGTAGTTGTGTGTAAATATGAATTCAATGAGCTGTGTAACATCCTCAGCAGTGTATTTGTGGTTTGGTGAGAATGATAAGGATCTGTGACATGCAGCTAATCCATCCTTGTGAGGGATATTACTATACAGGGATACTACATCCATAGTCACTAGAAGAGTATTAGATGGTAATTGCTGTATGTTGTTGATCTTGTTCAGAAAGTCAGTTGTATCTTGCATTAAACTAGCAGTATTCTTGACGAATGGTTTTAAAAATTTTTCTATAAAGCCTGAGATTTGTTCGGTGAGTGTGTTCATACCTGTTATGATGGGTCTGCCTGGATTTCCTGGCTTGTGGATGTTGGGCAGCATGTAGAAGTCCCCGATTTCTGGATGATCCGGAATCGCATTTATAAGTTCTGAATGTAGGTGGGCTGGAAGTGTTTTAATGAGACCTTTTAATTGCTTTGTAAAGTCCTGGGTCGGATCATAATCCAGTTTTTTATAGTAGATGGCATTTTCCAGCTGCCTCTGGCCTTCTTGTATGTACAGTATCTGTTTGTATCCATCACAACAACTTCTCCCCCTTTATCCGCTGGTTTTATGTTGATGGCCTGATTATTGCGCAAATCGTGTATAGCCCTTCGCTCTAGTGGTGAAAGATTGTACAGAATTTTCTTTTTCTGGGTGGATATCAGGGATGTAGCTCTCAGTCTGAAGCTATCAATATGTGTCCAGTTTGGGGTTGCGGCCTTGTGGAGGTGTGAAGCAGCTGTTCTTTTTCTTTGTGTAGCACTCTATTGTTCTAGGATTCTTTCATTACTGTGGAAATATTCTTTGAGCCTTAGTCTCCTGAAGAATTCCTCCATATCTGACAATAATTGTAAATGATCCAATTTGGTGGTTGGGCAGAATGTAAGGTCTTTGGAGAGAATGGTTAATTCTGGTTCAGAAAGTTTATGATTTGACAAATTGATGATTCCAAGTTCTTCTGTTATATCCACATTTTCAGTCAGGTCAGCATTTACACAAGGGATCCCTTGGGATTTCCGGATTTGATTCCAGGTCACTGATAGTAGGAGGTATAGATGTTGGGTTGCTTTTATGTTTAGGTTGTATCCAAAAGGTCTGCTCTTGGTGTAGCTTCTGAAGTTTTTTTTGCTTCCCATTCATGGCAAGTTTTTGTATTTTGTCTTTGTAGAGTTTCCAATTCATTCTTGATTTGGTTAATGTTGGTAGGGTCCAATGATATTAGGGTTTCAAACAATGACTGCTTTTCTTTCCTGATTGTTACCCTTTTTCCATACAGTTTGTGAATGAGGTTATTCCTTAACCATTTGAATACCGGGCAATTTTACACCTTCCTGCCCAGGCCATTTTTCAGGTTTCAGCGCTCTCACACTTTGAATGACAATTGCGCGGTCAAACAACATTGTACCCAAACTAAAATTTTATCATTTTCTTCACAGAACTAGAGCTTTCTTTTGGTGGTATTTAATCACCACTGGGGTTTTTTTTTTTTTTGCTAAATTATCAAAAAAAGACCGAACATTTTGAAAAAAAAACACGTTTTTCTTTGTTTCTGTTATAAAAGTTTGCAAATAAATAATTGTTCTTCATAAATTTAGGCCAAAATGTATTCTACTACATGTCTTTGGTGAAATTGACCAAAATTAGGATGTATTTTTTAGTCTGTAGGAAAGTTATAGAGTTCACAAACTATGATATAGATCTGAATATTGATCAATCCTGAAGTACTGACGGCCAATCTAATTTCTTGAGGTCCAAGAATGTCAGAACAGTACAGATATCCCCAAATGACCCCTTTTTGCAGAGTAGACAGTCCGACGTACTTCATAAGAGGCATGGCGAGCGAGTTTTTTGAAGTTGTATTTTTTTTGTCATAAATTTTCGGAAAATGAAAAAATACAAAAAATTATTTTCACTATTTTCTTTTTACATACTGTCACCAGTGCAGTACAGCGTCTTCATATAACTGGCATGGTGATGATCAGGGACACTGACTGGTGACAGTATGAAAAAAAAAAATATATATATTTTTTTTTTATTATTATTTTTTAATGTCCAAAGTAGTACAATGTTACCATAGTAACATTGTACTACTTTGGGGAAGTGATCAGTATTTTTTTTTTTTACACAATTTGCTTATAGCAAAGAATTACTTTGCTATAAGCAAGCATTTACCTGAATGACATCGATTCATTCAGGGTTTTTTTTTTTTGTGCTTAGCTGTGATTTGACATGTGCATGTGATTAGCTGTGATCATTCACAGCTAGACAGTAGTATACAATGGATGGCATGAAAAGCCATCCATTGTATACAACTGTCATGTGACCTGCTGTCATGGCATCCAGCCCTGAAATGCAGTACATATACTGTACACAAATTAAATTTATAATTTTTTTCCCACAAATAGAGTGTTCTTTTGGTGGTATTTGATCACCTCTGCATTTTTTATTTTTTGAGCTATGAACAAAAAAATTAAATTTTGAAAAAAAACATTTTTTTATTTTTCCTATAAAAGATATCCAATAAAAAAATAAGATTTCTTCATAAATGTAGGCCAAAATGTATTCTACAAATGGCAGTATATAGAAAGCAGCATGTCCCCACTGACAGGAGATGTATGTTGTTTACACACAGATCTCTTTCCTGTCAGCTTCTCTGCCAATCACTGAGTCCCGGCCATGAATCGCTGGCATCTTCGGGAGCCAATGGCAGCGTGGTTAGGGCGGCGCACGAGTGCCCCCTACCCGAAAATGCAAAATCACATATGATGGCCACCCTGTAGTAGCATATCTGCTATGGGGTGGTCTTTAAATGTTTAAACACTTGCCTTGTGTGCTGTTTCTTGCAAATTTATGGTCACATTGAGTGTCATCAGGCCATGACTGGAACAAAAAATAGGCCAGGGAATTTTGGACTCAGAAGCCCCAAGCCAGGGGAACCTTTCCTCGGAGTCCGGTGGTGGAACGCCAGGGCCTGGTCGCGAGAGCAACCTTTGCGACCCTGGTAGTTCAACTACTAGTGTCAGTAGGTTTTTATTTTATTTTTTACAATTGTTTTTTTTTTTAACATTTTTTTGTAGACGCTCCATTGGGGGGGCTTTGGTGAGAGGGAAAGAAAGAAAGAGAGAAAGAAAGAAAGAAAGAAAGAGACAAGACAAGAAAGAGGAGACAGAGAAAGAAAGAAAGAAGAGACAGAGAGAGAAAGAAAGAAAGAAAGAAAAAGAAAGAAAGAAAGAAAGAAAAAGAAAGAAAGAAAGAAAGAAAGAAAGAAAGAAAAAGAAAGAAAAAGAAGAGAAAGAAGAGACAGAGAGAGATAAAGAAAGAGAGAAAGAAAGAAGGGGGGAGAGAAGACTGCTGGGGAGTATGGGCAGGACATACACAGGAGAAGAAGGTGGGAGGAGGAGGGGCAGAACCAATTTAATCTCTCCTCTCTCATCTGTGGTTGGGGGGAGCTGTCAGCACTGGGGACAGTTTATCCTGACAGATGCTCCACAACAGTTGCAGGGAGGGAACCCAGTGATGGGGGGGGCTGGCCACGGGGGAAGCATACAGGAGCCCAGGGCAGCAGGACATGGATAGGAGGGGTAGCCTGGCAGGGGAGAAGTGGGCATTCAGTGGCAGAAGGAGAGAAATGCATGGTCTGGTTCCTCTATGTGCTGCCCGGCCGCCCTTCCTATCCAGACAGCCCCAGCCTCCGGGCAACTGCCTGGTGTGCCCTATGGCCAGACCGGGCCTATGTGCCATACTGTAGGATTTCAGCTTATTGCAGATTTAAATTTAGAGTTCTTGTCATACCAGCATGCTTCATTTTCCTGTAATTTAACCTAATTTATGGGAAATGAGATTAAAATATGATCCCTATTTTCCAAATTGCCTTTAACTTGCACATCTGTAATAAGTTGTATGTTTGAATTTAAAAAGTTCAGTAGTTTAAAAAGTTCAAGAATTAAACCAAACATTCATACCCACCTAGGTGGATGCAACATCTGTCCCCCCACTGCCCTAGGTTTCCCTTGTGCAAAAAATGGTTCTTTAACCAGTTGCAGACATTGGGAATGCTATACACATGCCCAATAAAGCTTAATTTAAGAACACAGGGGATGTATAGTACTTCTTGTCTTTCTGCCCTGCTGCCGCCCTCCTCCCTGGATGTGCCGGTAATTTTAGGCTCTTCAAATGACATTTGGATTGATACAAAAATACAGCAGCTATTTCAGAATTTTGTATAATAAACATGTATATTTTTATATATAATCTTGGTGTGATACCTTTAAAGTCCTATTAGGTATAGATGTTAGATGTTTTATAATAAGCTTACCTGTAGGTACAAGGAATATCTCCTATACTGCATCATTTAGGAGATATTCCCATTTGTAAAAGCCAGTGACAATCGCACTGCAATCTGAATGGACCAGTGCCTGGGTTTAGTAACACTTTAAGTGCTTAAATCGAAACTATGATACATTTTGTATAATTTGTTTTTTAATTTAATTTACTTTTTAACCACTTCAAGTCCAGACACTTTCACCCCCTTCCTGTCCAGGCCAATTTTCAGCTGTCAGTGCTATCACACTTTGAATGATAATTGCGCGGTCATGCAACACTGTACCCATATGAATTTTTTAGTAGTTTTTTGAGACAGATAAAATTTTATTTTGGTCGTATTTATTCACAACTGGGATTTTTATTTTTTTGCTATATAAATGAAAAAAAAAAGTTTTTCTTATAAAACTTTTGCAAATAAATAATCTTTCTTCAAAAATCTTGGGGCAAAATGTATTCAGCTATCTTTTTAGTAAAAAAAGAAATAACCCAAATTAATTTATAACCAAAAATGATAATTTTTCAAAAATGTATTTTACATTTTTATTTTTTTTATATATTTTTTTTATTTTTTTTATATTATTATTTATTATTTAGTATTTTTTTTTAACATACTGTCACCCTAGCAGTACAGTGTCACCATAGTGACACTGTACTACTTGTGGGGGGTGATGAAGATTTGTTTGTTTGTTTTTTTACATTGATTGCTTTTACACCCATAAAGGCTGTAAAAGCAATCAGCAATGCAGCAATGGCTGCATTCTTGCAGCCATTGAGAAATACTGTGAGAGCTGTGATTGGTCACAGATTGTCACATGGTACAAGGCTGTTGTGAATAGCATTGTACCATGTGACCTCTGTGATCATTCACATATTTCACTAGTAGTAAGCAATGATGTCAGCAAATGACATCTTGCTTACTACTATTCATGTGATCACTGAGGTCCTGTGCAGCGTTCGGTGTTCTGCTGTGTCCAGAGGACACAGAGGGCACCGGATCACGGTGCTGCACTCTCCCAGGGAGTGCGCACAGGCAGGAAATATGGGAGGACGTTTATAAATGGGCACCCGCTCCTGCACTACTCCCGTCCGGCTGTTTATGTACATGGGCCAGACGGGAAGTGGTTAAATTTACATTTTCTTTTAATTGCTGCCTAATATATCCTATGCAATACATATATGATCTTTGTTTCACAAACACACATTTATTACATTATATTTTTTTATTAAATTGATTATGAATAAAGAAATGATATACAAAACTACTATATATTACCATTAATTCAGTTCTTTGTTATTTCTCATGTGTCCAGTATTTTTTTTTACTTAATGTACTTGTGTATATGCATATAAATATTATGAATTTAATATAATAAAATATAATATGAACTGTACTTACATTTAAATAGCAATCTATATGATCTGAAGTATAGGAGCTGCCAGTTGGCTTGTTTTTGAACATTTTTTTTTCATGGCAATAGTATTCATCCTTACTTTAGAAAAAGCATGGACATATGAACTTGATATGAAATTGCTTGTTTCTGGCTATTAAACTTGCTAAATAGTTAATGAAGGATAATGAAAGCCCTAGCACAAAACCTTTTAAAAAAACAAGCCAGAAATTGCAGATTCCACATTTGCATCTTGTACAAATAATTTTTAGGTTAAGATTGCTGCAATAGAACATACAGTATTTTCTGCCATATAAGACTACTTTTTATACTTAAAAATATACCCCAAAAATTGGGGGTCGTCTTATACGAGGGGTATAAAGTCAACCTTGAGTTTGTTTGGGTCAAGCTGGCTGGATGTGCAGTAATGTACATACAGTATACCGTGCTGAGCCAAGCTGGCTCAAAACAAATGTCCCTATGACAGATTAATCTGTCAGCCCGCTGGATGTGCGGTATATACAGTATACTGAGCCATGCTGTTTCAAAACGTACCCGTACATCCCTACTGTAATCAGCCCGCTGGATGCGTGTATATATGGTAGCTGCGGCTACATACAGTATACACTGTGCCAATCACGGTGAGTGATGTATTCTACTAATGAATACAAAGCCTGCTCGGACTGGCTGTTTCAGAGAGGTGGGCTGATGATGTCACAACCTCAGCCAATCTGAACAGGCTTTGTATTCATTAGAATACATCGCTCGCCGTGATTGGCCCAGCGTATACTGTATGTAGCCTCAGCTACTGTACATACACACATCCAGCGGTCTGATTACTGTAGGGACGTACCGGTACGTTTTGAAACAGCTTGGCTCAGCGTGGTATACTGTATATACCACACATCCAGCGGGCTGTATATATACTGTATACTGTATGTAACCGAAGCTACCGTATTACTGCACATCCAGCGGTAACCATCTGATTTGGAGTTTGATCCATGTGATGACTGTCTAACAAATCTATCACAAGATGTCATTCATGAACTTATGATGTCAGAGGATGAACATGAGGATTTTGAAGGATTTTTAGTACCGGTAAGTCATAACCATTATCAATGAAAAAATCTGATGTTTTTAAATGGTGTTGCCTCTTAACCTCCTCGGCGGTCTGATTATTTCCGATTTTTTGTGCTGAAAGCGGTACCATTTTCTTGCATGGAAATATGTAGTTTTTTATTGTAGGCTGTAATTTTTAGGAATAACTCACTGAAATCTGTCCGAACAAGAGTCTAAAACATCCCTGGTAGGATACAATTTGAAACACGAAATCATAAATTATAATTTAATAAATAATCATAAAAAATAGTAATATAATAATAATACATTTAATTCAATAATATAATCAAACCAAAAACACTGAAATTTGAAATACAGAGGCAAATTTGCTTACATGTATATTTTATTTATCTATCGAGTATATTTTATATATATATTATATATATATATATATATAAAAATATATTCAGTTGTATCTGACCCTGACTCGTAAGCGACTTTTTCCATGAATTATTTTACAGGGTAGGTTGCCAAGTCTTTCCCCAACCCCTACCATGCAGGAGAGATCCCCCATGACCAGGGATTTAAACTAGGACAATTTAGAGAGGAGCAATTAACCTACCAGCATATCTTTGTAGTGTGGGAGGAAACCGGAGGACCTGGAGGAAACCCACGCAAACATAGGAAGAACATGCAAACTCCATGCAGGAGGTGCCATGGTTGGGAATCAAATCCATGACCCAATTACTGCAAGGCAGAAGTGCTAACGACTAACCCCCCGGGCCGCCCGCATATACATATATATATATATATTATATATATATATATGATTTCTTATTTACTCCCTAGTTTTGGGCTAGTGTAGGGACATGGACCTTACTAGTAAAAGATAAATTTTAGAGGTTCAAATATAAATTACTGTATCACCCAATACAGTATATGGCTTTCATCCAGTAGCCAAAAAAAATCATGCAGACCAAAAAGGGATTTGTGAAAAGAGATTCACAGGAAAGCGGCTACATTATGAACAGAATGCGATACTCAGAAAAATTTCCAAAAATTATGCCTTATTACACATTAATGATTGACACTCGGGCAATCGCCCTGGTTTACCATCACCCCAGTATGAGACAATACACACAGACCTAAAACCATTAAAATCACATCAAGATCGGTCTAGATATATGTGTTGCAAGGCTATGACCACCATAGTCTAAAGCATTTGCAGCACTTGCACATTGGTTACACTCCCTGTAGGAGGTGTATTCAAAAAATTATACCATAGGTATGTAATATCACATGCTATATATATAGGCATATATTGTTACCATATAGGTTACACTCCCTGAAGGAGATTTTCCAAAAAATATTATACCATGGGTATATGATATCACATGCAGGCAAAAAAGACAGATACAGTTACCATCTGGAGAGAAGCATAACCCTAAGCCTATATAAGGCAATGTAGGTAAAACATTGAATGAAAAGGGGGAAATAACCCCAATGATATAGTAATGGATTCATGCAGTACAACCCTATAGAGGCACATGTGGTTGGGGCCCATTTATCTGTAATATACGTAAATAATTGCAAAGATTCTTATAGATGAAAGAGTCCCTGTTGATGTCTTGATGGAGAAATAGATGCAAATAGCAGAGGCCTGCTTTATATGGTTTCTTCACCACAACACGTGGACTGCAAACCACTTTAATATTTGAAACAAGATGAGGCCCAATAGGTCTTCCGCCTGTTGCAATATATGTAGTATGCCTTGTTTCTATATAAAACACCATAATGTCCCCATCCTGTAATAAGACAAACGATATAAGAATAGTCACTTTAAGAGCTCTCACTCTATTTGTATATATAATATATGTGTCACAAGGAGCCTTTTTCGTTAGTCCTGTAACAGTCCACTCACCACCTGTGCAATGGGTAGTAAAAAAAGGAGATATCCTTCATAAGTACTGCCGTGTTGATCCAGGGAAACTACTTCATCAGCCGACATTTCGCGGGTTCCAACCGCTCCATGGCGCCTGTACAGCTTTTGCATGACTCATGGCATGTGAAAATGGCTGCCTCCTTGTAGGTCGGCATGCATATCGCCAGTGCGCATGACCGGAAGTGGCGTATCTGACGTATGACGTCAACGCGTTTCGCCGATGGGCGTATCTCACTCAGCTTCGTCAGGACCAATGAGACTCCTGCATTTCAGCTTCCTATTTATAGTGGGTTTAAACCCACCACTCATGCAAATTATTAACTTGCAGCTATTCTCAATGGGAAGAAAAGGCTAATTTACTTAGCACAGCAGCTGGTCATTACTCACATTTAAAAGAGCAGGCAACTGGATATATCAAAGAGAGAAAAGGCCTATCAATTCTATTAGTAACTCAAATGAGATAGAAAATTACCGCGGACTCACCAGAAAATGGCGATATTAATGAAGTAAATCCCTAGATATGGCTATTTAACCAAAAATATCTAAAGAACCTTACTGCCTGTTTTCCCCTGTTGAAAGCCCACATCATACATACATTAAACATGTTAAACATACAGCCCCATTCACTCAGATGGTTTGGATTAGGTGGCAGTATTGCCCATCAAAACACGGCTGTACTGTATAGTTTCTCCCATGGCCATAAAATCATCACAGCGGCGGTTAAGGGGGGTGGTAAAACTGCAGCTTAGCTGTCTATTTTTTTACTGTCCTCGGCTGCAAGTGTGAACAAGCCCTAACCCTGCTTCATCAGCTCTTCAGGAACCACCTTTTAGGGTTGACTGTACACTATACAACCTGATTGTACAATCTCCTTGTGGCCAGAGCTGACATTTCCTGCACGGTAAAACATCACATGTTACTGCACAGGAAGTGTCCACATGTGGCTGGTGGTGCCTTATGCTTTTTAAGAGTAGATCTCTGTTTATTTTTGCTTTTTACTTTATTGGAATATTCTATGTGACATTTGATTCAGGTCTATGTATTGCAGCTCAGATGCTGTGTGTGGAAACACAGGGAAACACAGGGAGAAATGGAGGTGCGGATGAGCTGTGGTGTGGGATGGAAAACGCAGACATGTTGCAGATTTCGGCACCATAGCACACCCAAATGTTCCTCCATGTGTGAACAGGGCACACAGGTAAACAGTTGTGGTCCTTTGCAGTGATCGGTGGTTTTTTCTACTGCAGATCCACACTGATGTAATAGAAGGACAAACCCAATCGATGCAATCAATCTTTGTACAATAAGGCAGCCCCCCGCACTTCATAGAAGATTGTAGATGTAAAGGAGATTGTACAATGCATAGTCTATGGTCAGCCTTTTGGTGGCCATTTACCCTATCACCGGCCACTTTATTAGGTTACACCTTTGCTAGTACCGCTTTGGATCCCCTTTTGCCTTCAGAACTGCCTTGATTCTTC